CGCTGTGGTTGCTTTAATCGACCCATTTAGGAGGGAGGTGAGTTAAAAAACACAGCTTTTATCCATGAACATTTGGCCAAACTGACATGTAAAGGGGGTTAGCATGTTTTTTTAGCATGTGTTTGGGCGGGTTCCAACCGTAAAGAAACAAATAGTTCAGGTCAACTGAAGACTCCAAACAGTCCTCTAAAATGTTTTGGATAGGCTCCGCCCCCCTGTGGCCCTATTAGGAATGAGCGATGTGGACAACAGATGGTTTTTTAATGTGTTTTTATGTATTTAGGCACTGAATCTAACATTTGGGTGTAGCAAAGTAGCCAAACGTTAGCTTTGGTTTTTCGTTAAATACATTTTCGGCTGCTTTCACTGTGTTATTTATAGAAAATAATATGTTAATCTGTTTACAGACTTTTTTTTCTTTATAAGTCTCACGTTTACTTCCAACATTATAGTTAATGTGTGAAAGTTTCACCTAAATTGAGTTTCTATTCTAGTCGTCATTACTAATAATTATTGTCGTTTTTCTGTAATAAAACCTTTTCAAACGTGGGTAATGTATAAAAAAAACACCAAAAAAAACACAGATGATAGTGCTTTTTTTTCTGACTAGCACATTAAAACACATTTAAAATCCTTAAATATTCAGGAACATTTTCTTTTAGCATTCATTTGAAGTCAAAGCTGCTAAATCAGCTGAGCTCTGAAGCTGAACGCTACAAACTGTGGGCTTTCCCCTTTTTTTGGGACAAGCAACAAGGATTCAGTTGCCATGGCGATAAATGAAGATTTGAAGCCTTTTCTTCTAGTAAATTCCTTCTGACCTTTCTGTGGTGCGTGAGGATGAAAGGCAGTGGGAGAGGCTGGCGGAGGCGGTGGGAGACTCCTGCTCTCTTCTGTCCGACGTCACCCACAGCCCACAGGACCCGCCCCCCCCCAGGGGTCAGAGGTCACGCCTTAGAGCTGAGCAACCACACGACGGTCAGCGACATCATCTTCAGGACAGGGGAGCATAAAGGTGATGTCATCAGCAGGCCTATGAACTAACACACTGTCTGAAGCCGTACGATCAGATCTGTGTGTCTGTTTTTGAATAAGTTTCTGTCTCTTGATGTTTTTAGCTTCACTGTTGATGAGAACCACACACAGTGAGTCCTGCTGGGATTCCTCTTTGGCCGACATAGTAAGTTTTAGTCCTCGCTTCTCATTCTTTGCTTCCACCTCACCGCTCTGCCACCGAGCTCAATCCGTTTAGCCACCGTTGCTTACATTTGTTTATGAAGACGAGCCAATAAAAGTCTCTCCAGATCTTTCCTAAAACTGGATGCTGGGGTAAGGGGTTTAAGACAGTGTCTCGCAAACCTATTTATGGAAAAGATCTTGCTCAGTATAAATAAATTAAAAAAAGGCCAAAAACACTTGAGATCATCATAATCCGATCAGATCCACTTTATCTAAACATGTTTGATTCTGAGTCCAAAGGTTAGGACGCAGGACTAAAATGTGATTAATTCCCACTTGCGGCTGCCTTTCTTCCTCCTCAGGCTGTGGGTCTGGGCCTGGACTATGTCAGACTGGGAGGTCTGAGCGGGGCGGAGAGGATGACCAAATACAACCGCCTGATTTCTATAGAGAGAGAACTGGCCCAACAGGGAAGACTGGGTATTTCTTCTTCTTTTTTTACTTCTCTTTACTCGTCTCTTTTGGAGCCTGACAGAGAAAAGGGGCCGCAGACAAAGCCGGAGGTTGTCATGTCTCTCTCCCTCCCGGCTGGATGTGAAAGGACAGCGTGTGTGAGGAATCATACAAGTGTGCGTCTGTGTGTGTGCCGGGGGAAGAATGCACACACACACTACCTTGAGTCTGTTAATTGGCTTCCTAATTACACACAAGGACAAACGCGCTCCCATTCATGCTTTCTAAAAGGGCCGGTGTTAATGAGAGATAAGAGCACGTCTTCCTGTAAACAGTGGCCGTTGCTCACGTTTATTTCCAAATATTGATGGTTGACGGGTACGTCGGTTGAGGGGTCTCTGCTTCTAACGGCTTGTGGGTCTCCTCTCATCTTAAAGGCTTTTTTTGTTTGTTTTTTTACAGCGTGTAAGGAGAAACACTCCCCTCCACTCTTCCCGGATGAGCAGCCCAACACAGCGGAGGGAGGAGAGTCCGAGGAGGCGTGAGGAAAAGCTTTTTCCAAAATATATGTTCACATTTAAACAGACATTAATACGATGTTTTTAAAAAGTATTTTTGGGTCCAAACCGCTCTTAGTAAGTAATCCTCCCGTCCAACTGGGGGCTCCGGTTGTGTGTTTTGACATGAAACGACCAACAAAACAGGTCAAATGAAGTGTTGTCACACTCCCTCTGAAACGATCTCCCTAATTGCCGGCCCCTTAGGGGAAAAGACACAAAACACAAAAACAACTAAACATTGTACTGGCCTCCTGACAGGGGATGTGACGGATGGGGGGGAAGAAAAGGACCCAGCATGTACAGTGGGGGAAATAAGTATTTGACCCCTTGCTGATTTTGCAGGTTTGCCCACTTACAAAGAATGCAACGATCTATAACTTTAATCATATGTACATTCTAACAGTGAAAGACAGAATCCCAAAGAAAATTCCAGAAAATCACATCATATGAATTTATAAAAACTGATAACCATCTGATGAGGAAAAATAAGCATTCTTTGTAAGTGGGCAAACCTGCAAAATCAGCAAGGGCTCAAATACTTATTTCCCCCTACTGTAGTTGTACGGATCCGTGTGGACCACCTGACCATTAAAGTGACCAGTAAAGCCAGAGGGTCCAATCAGCATCGAGCAGAAGGCCCTGATTGGACCTGGAGGATATGAGAAGGCCGACAAATCAATTTGAGGGGCCTCCCTTTTGTTTGCGTTTGACTTATCTTGTTATCCCCGATAATCCACACATCCTCCTGCTCCTTTAGAGCCGGGGAAGTGCTCTCTGTATCTTATTAGCTCGCGCCATCTTTTAGCCGGCCGTCTCGAGTTTCCCAGAGAAAAGAAAGAAAGGGGAAGAAAAAAAAAGTGGAGAACTTCCTGTGGGATATCTGATTCGGGGGGATGAGCGCTGAGGACTGGGTGCTAGTGAGCGGCTCTTTGAAGCGTGGGCTGATGGAAATTGCACCTCGGTGCTAAACAAAGCCTGAAGCTCTTATAAATCCTCATGCTAGCGTCTGGGAAACGTGGGCAGGTGTCGGGGCATTCCCACCACCCAAAAAAACATCCACTACCAATCCCTCTGCCCAGGTTTAACCAGGGGAGTCCGGCCCATACCACCTTAAGAAGTTAGGCTGAAAGCTTCAGGTCATTTTATGACTGCTGAAATCCGTTTTGGGAAAGTCCAGAGGAATAAATTCTACGACAAAACGCAACCGAACAAAAGGACTGAAACACACTAAATGCATCTGTATGACACAGCTGGAGACAGAGGAGTGGAGAAGCTAAAACGCCACAAACAACATGGCGGTCCATGTGTGGCACTAAAAGACGGGAGGTCAACATAATTTGGTTTGCTTTAAAACGAATGCAAATTTAGTTGGAGAGGAAACTGAAAGAAGAAAGTCAATTTTCACTGTTGGCCACAAAACGACGGCAATAAAAGAGATTTCACTTCAACAGGTTCTCCTCCATTTTGTTGTTGCAGAGTTGTGAGTCAGTTGACAAAAACAAAGCACACTTAAAAGATTGATTCAATCATTGGCTGAATTTACAGCCAAGGAGGTAAAAAAAAGAGGTAAAAAACATTAACAAGATATTTTTATGAAATGGGAACCTTTTGCAAAACAATTATTTGTATTTTCAGACTGTATCCTCTTATTTTTTCCCCAGAAAACCTACATAACATAAAATATGATTACATAACAAAAGATACATATATCATAACATAAAACATAAGATAAAATAAAATAACAAAAAGTTAATAACATAATAACGTGTATTTTACAGTACTGTTTTTGATCGGCATCGAATTAGAAATTCATTTAAAAATTCCTTCCTGTTCTGGACATGAGCTTAATATAAATTCTGGAGTGAAAACTCTGGTGTGGACATGACCCAGTCCAGCATGACTGATAGAGTCCAGGAAGAAAGTGAGGGAAATACCTCCCTGTGATACTCTGGAAGAACCCACGAGAGGCCAAACTATTAAACACCAGTCTTAGACGGCCACTAAAGAGCTGAGCTCTTTAAAGCCTGCTCTGACTTCCACCGTTTTCCTGACAGGGAACAAATATCCTGACCAGGGTTGTCACGATACTAACATTTTCAACTGGGTACCGATACTCAGGAAAATACTCGATACTCGATACCATTTTCCATACCACAAGGATAAAAACAAAGACCCCAAAATTTAACTGAATTGTGTCTTTAATTTCAAACTGACCTGTTACTGATGTTATGGTGGCCCACTTTAATGACCCTAACCCTAACCCTGACCCTAACCCTAACCCTAACCCTCCAGCCTTCATAATTGTGAGAAATAAATATTTTTTGGATAAACTTGTTTGGACTTATTGTACAAACCTATTTAACATCCACTATTTTAACATAATAATATGGATAAAGTTTAATTAAATGTTTGAAAGATGTATTTAACTATTTTTAAATGAATGTCTATATTGCCATGAAGCAATTAGGATTTTCTTGCCTGGGATCTTCCTGGTGACCTAATAAAAATGGCCGACTTGGATGTGGGCGGAGTTGGATATGTACTTGATTAATGGTAGCATGTTAGTATTAGCCATTAGCCACTGCTAGCAGTTCAAGGCTAACGTCTTGTTAATGACCATAAACAACGTGAATAAATAAATCAGAGAGAAAGGGGGTAGGGTATCGATAATTTTGAAAATGAGTATCGTATCCGGATACAGCATTTTAGTATCCATACTTTTGACAACCCTAATCCTGACTAAACCCCGGTGTTTGGGGGTTTCCTGGGCTTTGGTCACTCAGAGTGTGTCGGGGTTTGGGCCTCACTGGGTTGTGGGTTGGACTCCAGGGCGTCGCGGCGTCTCAGCAGAACTCTCTGAAGCTCTTCGTCGGCCTTTTGGGAAGGAGACGCAGCTCTGGGTTGAACTGGAGCTCGGTTGAAGTTTTCCTGGACAGAATAAAAAGCCTCGGGAACATCACACAGACCGTTAGAGAGCAGAAGATCTAGTCTTTTGACCCTCGGTTTGTCTATATGTAAAGACTGACCAAACCTCTTCAATTAGAAAAGAAGTACCTCTTTTCAATCATTGCCTGAATTTGATTATATTCATTAACTCATTGGCTGCCAAAGACGTCTATAGAGGTCTTTTATGT